CGGAGTTGTGCAGACTGTGGGGTCGGGGCTCTGGCGCGCCAAATCCTTGGTTCTGCCATACTGGCCGTTGGAGACGCTCGGTGTTCGGAGCCAGGCTCCTTTGCGGGCTTGGGCCGCAGTGATACTAGCGGGTAGGGTTGGGTTAGCTCTGAGAAGTCCAGCTGTCGTTCGAATGTCGCGGTCGCGCAGCACACGTGGGTCTTCATTGCCAGCGTCGGGCTGCTGTACTCTCAGTGGAAAAACGTCCGCAACGACTGTTTCATCCTCCACCTTGTTTTCGGTAGAGAGGTCGCTGATCACAGTCGATGGGTTCGTAGGGGCCATTGGCAGAGGACCCTTTTGCCGAATGCGCCTCATAGGTCGGGGACCTGTGGGAGGACAGGTGGGGGGGATGACGTGGTCGCCTTTTGCATTTAGTTTTGTCTCCTCTCCTTGATTGCAACTGTTGTAAAACCCACGCCACTGGTCTGCTAGACGTCGCGCATTGTGCATACCTGCATCTGCAAATGCCAGTCCTGCTTGCAATAACGTATGCAATGTAATTCCCGTGCGTCGCGATCTGCCCACGCGGCTTGTGTGGCTTGTGCGTCTGCGTCGCTTACTTGCACTTGCGCGCCACGGTGGTTGCAGAAGCGTTGTAAGGTGTGTTTGACTTGGTCTACGCTAGGCGTGTTGTCCGCATACCAACCCGGTGGTGTGTTGTGTCCAGCTGCTGCTCCCGAAACTGCCCTTCAAACGCCTCAAACCCCTCAAGCCCCTCAAACCCCTCAAACCCCTCAAACCCTTCAAACCCCTCAAACCTTGCTGCCTCAGCACCTGGGCTGTCCAACAAGGCCCCCGCGAACAACTGCCAGTCTATTAGCACAGCCAGAACAGAGGCATTGCTACTTCGTTTTCTTCTTCTTCTTCTTCTTCTTCTTCTTCTTCTGCCTCTTCTTCTTCTTCTTCTTCTTCTTCTGCTTGCCATTCTCCAGCCACGCAGATAGACCTGCGGCCGTCCACAGGAAGTGCTACGGTCAGCACCAGGGCTGCCGCAGCACAAGCCTTGCTGGCTCAGCACCTGGGCTGTCCAACAAAGCCCCCGCAAACAACTGCCAGTCTATTAGCACAGCCAGAACAGAGGCATTGCTACTATGCTTCTTGCTGCCTGTTGCTAGTGGTTGTTCTGATCTTGTGATGCTTCTGGGTCTTCTTCTTACTACTGCTGCTGTGATGTTATGAACTAGAAGCACGATTGCTTCCCCGGGGTCGGCGGCAGGGGCGGCAGCCCTTAAATCCGGGCGCCGGCCACGGGCCCGTGTCCTTGCCGGAGGCCTTCGGTGGTAACCGAAGGTTATATACGCTGGCCGCCCCTGCCGCCGACCCTTTTGTTGGACCGCGTGTATACCCCCGCCCGAAGCGTGTCGACAGATTTTTGTGTAATTTTTATGTTCTTGTGCAGGATGTTCGAAAAAGGTTCAAAAACATCGTTTTTTACAGTGTTTCGTGGCCTTCGGCGTCCACGACTGGGCGCCCGTGGTGTCGGTTATGCGTGCCGCGCGGACAGGCTTAATCGACATTTCGTTGGTGTTGGGCACATAAGTTTCCTAACATATCTCCAACATAGGCCCAAGATAGCCAACATATCCCCAACATATGCCCAACATAGCCCCCAAGATGGCTCAACATAGGGCCAACATAGGCCAACATGGGGCCAACATACGCCAACATAGGCCGAACATAGGCCCAACCTAGGCCAACATAGGCCTAACATAGGCCGACCTAGGCCCAACATAGGCTCAACTTGGGCCCAAGATGTGCCCAACATAGACCACGTGGGCGCAACTTGGCCCAACCGAGGGCCAAGATGCGCACCAGATAGCTTAACTTTGCTCAAGCTTAATCGACATTTCGTGGGCGTTGGGCACACGTCAACAGCAAAGGCGGAACATGTGCTCCGAGATGATCTGAAAGAGGCCTTCAAGAGGACCTCACCTAGTCCCAGCCTATGGTACACATAGCCGCAAGATGACCCGACCTAGGTCTCACATATGGGAAACATAGCCCCTAGGCGGGCCCAGATTGCCTCAAGATGTGGCAACAGGCCTCACACAGTCTTAACTGGGCCCAGACTGCCTCAAGATGTGGCAACATAGGCCTCACACAGTCTCAAAAAGAGAGAGAGAGAGGGAGACAGCGAGAGAGAGAGAGAGAGACAGAGAGAGAGAGAGAGAAAGGGAGACAGCGAGAGAGAGAGAGAGAGAAAGAGAGACAGCGAAGACAGAGACAGTGACTACAGAGAAGACAGAGACAGAGACTACAGAGACAGAGACAGACAGAGAGAGCGGAGGGAGAGAGGAGAGACAGAGAGAGAGAGAGACAGAGAGAGAGAGAGAGAGACGGGATGGCAGGACATGTGCAAGACGGCTCTCCCGACTTCGGCGTATAGCAGGTATACGCCCGGGCGGTCAGCCCCCTTCTCGAGAAGGACGCTCCCGGGACGGTCAGCCCCCTTCTCGAGAAGGATGCTACCGGGACGCCCGAAGTCCCGGTCCCCGTCTTGCACAGGGAGGGGTTGTTCGGCCCCCCACCGATTGAAGACTTTCCCACTTTCGAGAAGGATCGGGTCAGTCTTGAGTTCCACAAGGCGAACCTCTGCGTCGCCATCCCAGTCATCCCAATTCGCTTCGGTTCTGCTTGTGCTCTTTCTAACAACTCTTGTTTTTCTTTCTGTGTACCAAAAGCTGCCTCTCGCAGTCTAGGTCCGACCAGCTCTTCGTCGCGCTTCTCGACCCAATAGCGGACGTTGTCTACCGCCCGCCGATCAAATCCAATCTCGGGACAACTGTGAATCCCTCCAAAATCCATAGTTGGCTCTTTGACCAGCGTAGAGCAACAGGCTTTGTCTAGCTGCTCCAGTTTTTCTCTCCGAGAGCCACCAGCTCTCAGTCGGCCAACTGCGTTTCGCCTTCAGTGCTCCTATACGCTTTCCTCACTCTCTCTTGCTTGCCCACATAGGGACAGAGACATCGACAGCTGCCGACAAATGCCGCGACCGAGACAGAGACGGAGACAGGGGCAAACAGAGAAGGGAAAAGCAAGGACCGCGAGAGAGAGAGAGAGAGACAAAGAAAGTGAAAGAAAGTGATACAGAAAGACAGAGAGAGAGACAGAGAGAGATACCAAGACGGAGACAGAGACAGACACAGACAACGAGAGAAAAGGGAGAGAGAGAGAATAAAAAAGACAAAGACCAAGTGACAGCGCGAGAGAAAGAGAAAGAGAACCCATCCCCACACACACCCAATTTACGCAGCTTTTTTGGATCTTACGGTTGAGTTCTCTGTCTCTCTCCTTCTCTCTAAACACACCCTCTCCCTGCTTGGCCGGCGCCCGGCTGTCAGGCGTAAGCCTCTTAAATCCGGGCGCCGGCCACGCGCACGTTCCCTTGCCGGAGGCCTTCGGTTGGTAACCGAAGGTTATATACGCTCGCCGCCCCTGCCGCCGACCCTTTTGTTGGACCGCGGGGATACCCCGTGTCGACCCCCGGTCGACCCCAGGTCGAATCCGGTCGACGGATGTATATGTATCGACCAAGTTTTTTGCGTTGGATGTTCAAAAACATCGTGTTTTACAGTGTTTCGTGGGTGTCGGCGGACACGAGTTTCGTCTAACAGGGCGTCGGTGGTGTCGGTTCTGCGTGCCGCGCGGACAGGCTTAATCGACATTTCGTGGGTGTTGTGCACATAAGTTGCCTAACATATCTCTAACATAGGCCCAAGATAGGCAACATATCCCCAACGTATGCCCAGCATAGCCTCCAAGATGGCTCACCACAGGGCCAACATAGGCAAACATAGGCCCAAGATGGCCAACATATCCTCAACGTATGCCCAACATAGCCTCCAAGATGGCTCAACACAGGGCCAACATAGGCCAACATAGGCCCAACCTAGGCCAACATAGGCCTAACATAGGCCGACCTAGGCCCAACATAGGCTCAACGTGGGCCTAAGATGTGCCCAACATAGACCACATGGGATCTTAAGTGCGGCTTTTTTGGATCTTAAGGTTGGGTTCTCTGTCTCTCTCTTTCTCTTTTTTGGAGCCTTGGTGGGGTCTATACTGACCAAAGTTTGGCCATCTGGCGCGCATCTTAGCACTAGGTTGGGCCAAGTTGGGCCCATGTGGTGTATGTTGAGCACATCTTAAACCCATGTTGCAACTATGTTACATCTATGTTAGGCATATGTTCTCCTGGGTTGGGCCTATGTTGCCGTACGTTGGCGTACGTTGGCCCCATGTTGCAAACGGGGCACCGGCCCTGCTAGGCCGGCGCCCGGCTGTCAGGCGTAAGCCTCTTAAATCCGGGCGCCGGCCACGGGCCCGTGTCCTTGCCGGAGGCCTTCGGTTGGTAACCGAAGGTTATATACGCTCGCCGCCCCTGCCGCCGACCCCCCCCGGTCGACCCCCGCCCGAATCCGCCCGACAGATTTTTGATAGATTTTTATGTTATCTATTTTTTTCTACCACATGATGTGGAAAACATCGTTTTTTACCGTGTTTCGTGGCCTTCGGCGGACATGACTTGCGCCTAACAGGGCACCGGTGGTGTCGGTTATGCGTGCCGCGCGGACAGGCTTAATCGACATTTCGTGGGTGTTGGGCACAGAAGTTGCCTAACATCTCCCCAACATAGGCCCAAGATAGCCAACATATGCCCAACATAGCCTCCAAGATGGCTCAACATAGGGCCAACATATGCCAACATGGGGCCAACATACGCCAACATAGGCCCAACATAGGCCCAACCTAGGCCAACATAGGCCTAACATAGGCCGACCTAGGCCCAACATAGGCTCAACTTGGGCCCAAGATGTGCCCAACATAGACCACATGGGCTCAACTTGGCCCAACCTATAGGGCCAAGATGCGCACCAGATAGCTCCACCAAGTCTCTAAGAGAGAGAGAGAGAGAGACAGAGAGACAAAGAGAGAGAGACAGGACCCAGCCCTGCACATACCCAAACCCAAATAGGCCGGCGCCCGGCTGTCAGGCGTAAGCCTCATAAATCCGGACAGGGGCCCGCTGGCCGTGTCCTCGCCGTAGGCATCTCTCCTCTCCGAAGGAGAGAG